TAGTAAATCAGTAGACAGATAGTTAGATTTGGAAATGAAGAATTTAATCAATCGAACTGGCAGCATGTGAATCAGACAATGTTCAAACATCCTTATCTCACATTAAAAGATCCATCTTGCTGAAAATGGAAATAAATTTTATCTGCTATAGAAATGGAATGACAACAGAGATCATCAATGAGCTACGAGTCTTACAAGAAATACATGTAGCTAGGTTATTCGATAAAATACTTAAATAAATACAATTTTATGCAAATAGGTTCATAATTCATGATGGATTTTTATGCTATCTTTGAGCCCATGAAAAGTAAAATTATCGCTGCTGTGAGGAATGAGGATGAAAAGTAAAATATAACCCAATGGATATACATCCATTTCTGGTTTTAAAAAGTATGTAGTCTCAAAATCACTATCACAGAACATCACCGGCTCATCCAAAAGCAGATGACAATTAATAATATACTGTGTAAATAATTAATACTGAGCGGGATAAAACAAATATACGAACTTTTATGACGCCAACATAAATGAGAGTTAAATCATTTTCAATTGAAATAAGGATATGAATGCATGGCCTACTTACTCTTGACTTCTTAAAAGACAAATTTTGAGACAAGCTTGTTATATCAGAGTCGAAGGCACCTTCACTTGTTCTTACATAAGAAATTGTTTCCGTAAGTACAACACGATAATCGTCCAAGTGATGCATATCATTCCTGTAAATAAACACGCAAAAATTATGTGAATAAAAACATTTAAATAACAATCACGGAATTAATGATGAATACCTGTACAGGAATTCCAGGAGAGTAAACAGTGATTTAAATAGGGTAGAGGTAGCCGATCTTAATTTCAATTGGTCGTCATCTTTGTTCTCCTTGGATGGTCGTGTATTTTGATCGGAGGAAAGTTTATTGAAATGTTCCTAAAATCATCAAGATGCGATTTTAAGAGGAAAATAAATGCAACAGAGATTAATGCCTGGTCATGTTCAAACCAAGTTGGTAGAGTAGCAGATCATACTCACATGGGTCTTTTTTATCTCTTTTGGGCCAAGGGATACAGTACTCATGAGAGCGGCAATCTCGTGGCCCGACCATACTTGACTGGATTCCGCTGTTTCCCCCAGACTAACAAGGCGAGACCGAGTAAGCTGCATTAACTGGCTAATTCCAGAAAGCTAAAAGAGGAGTAATAAATACAAATTACCATATTTTGTAATGCATGTACTTGCACAGTGTGACAGTCAAATTGGTCTACTTAAGGTAAAGATACAAGTAAATGAAAATTACTAAGACGTAGTAAATCCTCGTTTGCTAATTTAAGTTGTCCATCAGTGAGTGTAAGAGAGGAAGATTCTCTACATGCTTCTTCAATATTATGCGCTTCATCAAAAATAAATATATTTCCTTCAAGAGCAATTGACACCTAAGTGTGAGACGAAAGAATGACTAACAGTATCACGGAGCACAGGATCCAGGATATAGTTATACGGACAAAACACAATGTGCGCAGTTTGTGATAACTTTCTTGCAGTAAAATAAGGACAGGAAGGAACCTACAAATAAATCTAACCGAAAATTACGGGAGTCAGAGCATCTACGAGATCTTCTATATCCCAAGTTCCATTTCTTTCAAGATGCGCGAGGGCACGTTGGAGTTTGACGACACCTTTAGGCTTATCATATGGGCACATTCCATTCTAACGTTCAATAAAAATAGTCATAATTACTAGTAGCATGTTTTGACAGTTATCAGTGACATTATCACTTTTGGCAATACGTGGATGAATACATGTATGCTGACGGCTCGCCAAAATAGACATTCTGAACTATTCAATGACATCAAATTACTTTGTAGTTTTATACTTTGTTTTGGATAGTTCGCGAATTATTTGAGTTATTTGCTTGTGTGTTCGAGTTCCAAAATATATCTGAGGAATTCTAATGGTAAAATGCTAGGCCTAAAACTACTTTTCATCAGGTTCTTGCTTGTCACAACAGCATTTTAGGTTCCAGTTATCCTCAACAAAGTCACCATCTTGAATTTAAATAGTGTAAAATAGCTCACCTATATAGGGTGATTCCGATTCATTGCAATGACTGCATGTGACTATGTCCAAATATAATGAGTTCATCATTACCTTTAAGAGCACCAGAGGTGTGGGAAGTGTTCGATTCTACACAACGTAAGCGCAGCCAGTAATCTTACCATATTTGTGACTAAGCCATCCTAAAGAAGCGCAAAGTAGGGCCAAAGTTTTACCCGTACCAGTAGGTGATTCTAAGAGGCAATTTTTCCTGTTTTGTAACGATTCCACTATCTGAAAGTGTATTATTGCATATAAAGTGTGCATACTCTATTCATCATTGATAGTTGACAGGTATATGGTTTATGAGGGAAAGAAATGGGAACACCCTGGATTTGAAACTCCATAATAAATAGAAGCCGGCAAAGCTAGCGCAAAGGGTGAGCGTACCCGAGAACGATGCAAAAAATGCAAATGCAATAAGTGAATAAAAAAGGTGTGACTAATTTTTAAAGATAAAAATAGTA